GGGCGTAACACCAGCAACGGGGGAGTTTCAGTTGACCACTAATATTGTGAATAAGGTTAAATGTTACTGTCTATCTCCTGCCTTAGAATAAAGCAAAGGCACTAACGAAACTGGTTTATGTCAATTGAATTACCTGTTAATTTTAAAGGAAAATGAAGTTTGCACCGGTATCATCGAAAAAAGAAGTGGATGAATAGATGAATGAAAGAGGCTTCAGTTATTCTGTCCTTAGAAAATATCGACCAGGTCAAAGGGTACGAACTTTGCGTGCATCAGATAAGCCTTTTCAAGTTTACTACCGAAAAACTTCTTAACCAAACGTCAGAACGACTGTGAACCACATGACGAATTGCAGAAATCAGTTTTGTGCACCCTGAAGAAGGGCCGCAAGGGAACGAGCTGAAACTCGTACTGGTTAATCAATCGATTGGCCGATTTGTTTGCATTGTGTATAACTTAACAGGTTTTACACATTTTTCGATTTTCGCAAATCTGAATCTAAAGTTCTCTATGGTGGCGTAAATCTAATATGTTTGTTTCAAAGCGAAACTCAGAGCGAGTGTTCTCGTAAATACTATTATCCAAAGAAAACTTAGATAAGTTCTTGCGTCAAATTGCCAACTCGCTGGGTGGAAGACGACGCATCGATTCTGTCAGATATGAGATTACAGTTATTAGATAATCAGTCAATCAATGGTATACTAGTTTGTGCAGCGTAGCTGTTATCAGCAATGGAGACTATCTTTGTAAACATCAAACATTCATGCGCACATACAGAAACGATAGTCAAGTCTGGATGTCAAGATTACTTAAAATGAACTCTTTCTCTCCTTATGGTCTCTTAGGATGTTTGAAAAAAAATGAAGGACTCCTCAGTATCTTTCCAGCAATAAAGTTGTAAGCGTTCTTAGTACGCTGATGCAACGGCGCACTATTTTCAGACTTCTTACGGCATGGAAAATATTACTTATTGCTAAAATACTCAATTTTAAATTGCATGATATGTAAAAAAATGGTTGACAGAACGTGATTTCAGGTTTATCGACATGGAGAACGCTCGCCTATCAGATCTTTCCCAACGGACGTAGAAAACGGTCCCTCAACCTGGCCTTCTGGAAGCGGAGAACTGACTGCGGTATTGACTAATTTGCCAAATGTTCAGAAGTTCTAAACAAATATATCTCTCTGGTTTGCATTAAGGCTGGTGCGAAACAAGCCTATGAACTAGGACAATTTCTCAGACATCGATATGAAAAATTTTTGGGCGATTACCAACCAAACAAGGTGAGTAATGAAACGAAGATTTCAATCAATTATTTCTTTGTCACCACCAATTTATGCGCTTTCATTTACTATTACATGGCATCGCTGACTCTTAATGTCCCTGTTCATTCAGCTAAACAGTTTGGTAGAATACAAGTTAGTGCGGTGCAGAAGAAAAACTTTCCGCCTTAATTTTCCACCTGGATAGCAAACTGGTGAGGCTGGGCGTCGTTATCTGAAATACTTTACGAAATATGGCTAATTCTTTTTATCTGATTTAAAGTTTTCTTTCAAGGACTTTAGAAAGAAAAGTACTACTTCGTTAGAACCTTGCTCCCGCATCTTCAACCTGCACCAAAGTTAACTCCGGCGCTCACTATTAATTCATAATCTTGTCTGCGTCGAGATAAACCGTTGTCATGCAATGCAATTTGCAAGGTGGATGGCACGAACTCGTTAGAGGCAAAAAAACCAACAGAAGGAGGAAGGTAGTATGGGCCAGATAAAACGTACTGAAACGTCGCTACTCGGAAGTAGCCTGCCAATGCGATAGAAGAAAGGTTACAGGAAAAGTGTTCGATTCAGCTGTCCCATCGGGAATGATCTGCGACACTGAAAATTGTTTTGCCACAAAACAGAGCAGGACGATCTGATGGTCACCTCAAAGACATCACGTTCTGAGTGGTCTAATTCGACAACTGATTGCAGTGACAGACATTATTTCTGCCTTGAACGATATCAAGGACAAATGGGTGGGGGACTCATGTGGCCCCTCACCTGAGGAGCAGCCGTTTGAATCTCAAACAAGGTTCCGCTGGACCACAGATGACCATTTTATCGTGCAAGAACCCAGTGGGACGACTCGACAGTCAAAATTCTTCGCCAGTAGTGGAGGCATAGAGCGGAAAACAAAACATAGCCCGGTGCTGTTGACTTCCGTTCATGAGGCACCAATGACGTGGAACTGGTCGGATGACGAATAACTGTGCAGCGCTGCCATTCCAGCTTCTGATCTGGTCCTCAGTTTGGCACATGCAGACAAAATCTTCCTGAAATACAGAACTCTGTGAACAGAAGATCTAACGATATCCAATTTAGTGCACCATGACAGCCACAACTGTCACTCTTCTGGTTCTTGCATGTTGTAAATTTGAAGAAATTAACAAAAAACCAGCTTTATGACTTTTGCTGATTATTTCATTGCATGGTCAACTGTCAGGTGGGTGAAGGTGAAATGCTTCTTTATTGGTTTTCATCGGTCAGCGTAGCCTTGCGCTTCTTGCACTATGGTATGATCACACCAAAGCGTCATGCTGTCAGTACTGTCCGTGTCTCCACCGTTTGCTACCTGCATCTCGGTTCATTACGCTGAGTCACGATGAGGTGAAAACGTTGCTCAAGGAAAGTAGCGGTTAAGAGAATTTCTTTTCCGGATTCAAATTCGGCGCCTCAAGAGTTCAGAGTCAACCTCCCACAACTGATTCACTGCCTCAACTTCTATATTTGGAATATTAGTAAAGATTCATTTTCTTCTTCTTAAAATGCGATTCATTCTGCAACTCATCGTATTTTAGAGCTGCCATTTGTACGCATCAGCATTACACAACAACATGCCATTCGTCGCAACCTTTTGACTTGAGTGAAGATTCTTGAATAACAGAAAACCATGGGCAACCTGAATGTGGTTGTAAAGCAGATATCACAAAATCGTGTCCTATTTAAATCTTCTTTCACTCCAGAGATTAAAATCACAGTGAAATCCTACAGTATTATCTAATACACTGTCTAATGGTAATTTTATATGAGATTATTTGTGCGAACGATCTCCTTTCACTTCTCCGGGATTATGCAGCGTAGTGGCACGGTTCACTTCCCTCATAGTTGTTTGCTTAGAGGGCTGTTACCTGGCCGCTCTCCAAGGTGTTCATGCATCTGCAGTGCAAGGACGCAAAACACCACCACTTTCTTAGGTCAAACAGATCCGTGTTCGAGCAACAACATACATATCTTGAACCGAGGGCATATATAATCAGGAGGTTGTGGAATTTGACGATGTAGATCGGCATTAGAAATGCCAAGAGATTGTCATTTTTATCGGCTCTATAAGAGCTAGCAGCTACTAATAAAAACATAATGTCTTGTTTGAGTTTTATGGTTCAAATAAGCTCTATTTGCTATGAACCCTGGAGCAACAACATGAACATCAGCAAGTCAGTCAGTTTCGATGATCGCTATCCGAGGGGACAGAACGAAGCCTTAGTGGATACCAGTGGCAACGCTGAACGTTTATTCTGACGCAGCACCTGCTATCAGCATGCAGTGATTGGATGGCTCTTACCAACTGGCCGTCTATCCCTTATGCACAAAGGTATATCCACAGACTGTTGCGTGGGATCCGGCCATAGGCTTTTTCTAGGTCA